TATTTTGACGATTTTAAGAAAAAATATTCAACGCAATTGTTTGAGATGTTGTATTTGAAGTTCATTATGGATACTACAACATGTGACAGAAAATTGTCTATACAAGTCCAGGTCTTCGTATAGCTTCGATATAACTGTAGCTCCCTATATACGTATTTTGGTGATATTAGCTACATTATTTAACGTTTATTTCAAGTTTCAACTTTGAATATGGTAATGGCTTATGACAAACAATGCCTATGTAGGTCCATGTCATATAGACTCCAATATTACATCTATATTTGGGTTTTTTTTAAGATTTTAACAAAATTTTTTACGGATTTTATTTTTTGATAATTTCCAAATTCGTTCCAAATGTTCGAGGGTACTCAAAGTTCGTTACTGCTTTTCAACTTGTTATCGTCTAAATTGGATTCTCCATTCAAGAGTTATTATGAGCACCAACCACACGTTTATCAAAGAAACTTATTGTGGGAAATTTAATAATGAGGTCTCGACCAAAAATTTAAATGTTTGAAAAATACGACTATTTGTGAAAACCACAAAAAATGCCCTATTTCTTTGCCATTCATAGACAAATACATGTATATATTTTGTATTATTTTTATTTGCAAATTGCCTTCTCGTTTATTTGATGTTATGTCTTAAGTGGCCAAAATTGTAAACAATAAATGTCCAGAGAACAAATACAAAAGAATTTCAAAATATTAGAATAATTTCATTAAATCGATTTGAATTAGCACAACATAGTTCATTAATTTTTCAAATTAAATACTTTGTTTATTTGATGTTTGTATGTGCCAGCAGTTGTGTGCGTTTATTCTTGTGGTTTTGTGTCAATACGTCGGTCATTGTACTCTCGTATTAATCAAATTATTATCATGATATGAACATGATGTATCAAGTTTTATCTAAATTTACAAACGAGTTGAATTTGTTGGAAGGATATTTGGAAGTTTCTTGCATTTGTTTGATATATTCTATGGATTGATGGACAATGCATTAATCCTTTAAATGCTCGCCCTATTATTAATTTTGGACCACTAGAGGTAAAGAAATAAGTTTTTGCAGATTAAAAGACCTTCTCAAAATGTTTTTCCTTCAAAGACAATGCGATGCCAAAATTTGAAATATGTTGCCACATTTACCCTTAAAGATTCTCACTGTTTCAAATCAACTTGTATTCGGTTAACATCAAGAGATAACATTTCATTTTAATTTTTGATATAATCTCTTATGTTGCCCATAGTTCTATAAGGATTAAATTTAAATTTAACAGAAATAATAATTATAACGTAATAATAATATGAATTTAAATTATTTTGCCAATAGGCAATACACATATTTATTTCATATACATCTAGTATTTGTATTTGTTGTGTATATAATTATATTTCGTAGACGATGTGAAAGTCTGTTTGCAAACAATATACAAGATAAACCATATTTGTATAAATATATTTCTTCTACTGCGTATTAATGTACACATACGAATATAATTCTGTTAGATCAAAATTACTGTATGTTTGTCTACCTCAAAGAAAATATCTTTTGAATGGATTGAAATTAAATATTTCATCAACATATATTACATTTTTCGTTGTTTGTTTAAAATTTCAATTTAAAAAATGTAACCAATTGAAATCCCAACAAATAGAAAAAGATTTGTAATATTATTATTTATCACAATTTTAATTAATTAATTAATTAACATTAATAATTACAAAGTCTTATAGGCGACTTAATTGCGCCTACTTGGGGCATACTTTCCATACGCAAAAGGAAAAATAGAATTATGTTATTTATATATGTTTCAAAATGAGCTAAAGGAGCTGTGAGAGGAGGTGAAACAATTGCAAACTCCAAGTACCAACTTTCTGAGTCGATTTATGCATGTCAGTGTGACTGTTTGTCCGTCTGTCCATGTATTTTTGTGAACAAAATGCGGGTCACATTTATTATTCGACTGAGATGAAATTTTCCAAACAATATTTGTTTGGCCTAAGGACAATCCCTGTTTAAATTGGTGAGAATCGGTTCAAATTTAGATATAGCTGCCATATATATGTTCAACCGATTTCGTGCTAATTGTTGTGATAGCTCATTATATTGTTTACAAGCGTACAAAAGCATTTTGGTGAGAATTTTCCAGAAAAATTGTTATTCGTGATGGAATTCAAGCGTGATAATGTGATTTCCTTATATTTGGCTATAAAACCACAAGTGGCTATCGTTAGAGCACTCCAGCATTTAAATGTGAATAAATCTTTTGTGTCTCGTACCATCGCTCGTTACCGTCATACTGGTAGCGTAGCCCGACGTCAAGGAAGTGGACGGAAGAAAACAGCAACATCAGCAGAAATGGTTCGAAAAGTGATGAAGCGACTTGATTGAAACCCGCGTCGCAGTGGCCGAAAAATGGTTCGTGAGCTCGCGAGTGTCGATCATCTCAAGCAATCCCTTCGCCGGGAATGGACCGAAATACTGCAGAGTAACATTCGGGCAGCGTGTGACGCTTTCATTAGCTATTTGAAAGCCCTAATTCGTGCCAACGGTAACCAATTCAAACAAATGTAAGCTTTGTCTAAATTATTATGCTATTTCCGACATTTTTTGCTTTCATTCAATAAAATTTAAAAAAAGGGCTTTTGACTTTGTTGCTTTTTATACCCTACAACACTATGTGTTGGGGGTATTATAAGTTTGATTGGGCCAAAAATTATGTAACACCTCGAAATATTCGTTTCCCACATAGGAAATATGGATCTTCCTATCTCGCCGAGCTGAGTCGATCTAGCTATGTATGTCCGTCCGTCCGTCTGTCCATATTAATTTGTAATCACTCTGCAGGTCGCAATTATGGCCTGATCTTCACGAAATTTAGTATGGGGGTGGGGTTAAGGTCAGAATAGAACGCTACTTCTTTTGGAAATGATCGCATAATATTTAGGGGTCGAAATGGACCAAAAACTGAAAAAATCCTGATTTTGCAGTTGCTCTACAGGTCGCAATTATGGACAAATCGAAATTAGCAAGGGGCTAGAGCTTAAGGCTGGTCAGAAGCCTTCCAATTTTAATGGTCATCAGGTAATATTAAGTGGGTGAAATAGACTATAACATTTGTGTTAAATAAAAGTCAAATTTTCCATTAAACCGCGAATATTTTTAGTCCCGTCCGACAAGTAGACGGACAGGTCAATCCTGACTGTTACGTAGAAGGCAAAGGTAAATATATCGGATATATATAGCGATATTTATACAATACATATACACAAAGGAAGGGGATGGATTCTGTCAATTCGGAATGCCCTATTGGCATAAAAGTATAAAATCTAAAAAATCGCATAAAAAGATGCCAATAATGATGTTAATATAGATTTTGTAGTATTATGTGACATTTTTTTTTTCATTTTTTCATATTTTTTATCGCATGCGATTTTTTCAATGTGACTTATAATATTGAAGTGTATATTTCGTATTTTTTTTTTACTTTTCAACACAGGTTGGGGTTATTATTATATACAGATTGCAATTATCGTCCGATCACGAAAATTTTTACGAGGGTAGAGTTAGGCTCGGAAGGGCTAGGTCTATTGTTTTCAAAGATGCCCGCAATATATTTAGGGGTTGAAATGAACCAACAACTAAAAATGTTGCTGATTTTGCAGCCGTTATAAAGGTCATAAATAGAAACCAAAGGACACGAAATCTCGCATAAAGTTAGAGTTTAGGACAGCGGGGGGAATGGACCACTATTTTTGTGTGAAAAAATACCAACATTACTTACAGGCGATATCCGAAGTACACAAAATGCGAACTTCTGGCTTTTTTATGCTGATTTCGTTGACGAATATAGCCAAATATCGTAGACAAGGAAATCATATAGATGAGTGTACATTTGGAATACAGATAGGACTCTTACTTTTGGAGATGATGCAAAATATTTATGGGTTCAAATGAACCAAAAATAGAAAACATTTCCTGATCAAAAATTGAAGCCAATAAACACGTCTGAGAAGATAGTTAAGGACAGGGAAGAAGTCTAGCATTTTGGATGACCATTGGATTATATTTAGCTTAAAATTGGACCACAACAACTAACAGCACGATGAAGTGCGTAAATATTGGGTAAGTGTCCCTAGTCAAAATGCTAAGGGTAATATATGGGCAGTGCTCCGTAACACAATTTCAAAAGCGAAATCTTCCAAAATGGTTTAGGACATAAAGGGGCTTCTAACATATTGAAGTGTTGTAGGGTATCAGTGCGTAAATATTGGGTATGTGTTCCTGGTCAAAATGCGAAGGGTAATATATGGGCAGTGCTCCGTAACATAATTTCAAAAGCGAAATCTTCCAAAATGGTTTGGGACATAAAGGGGCTCCGCACGACCATAGCCTTTGCTTACTTGTTTTTATCTCTCCCTGTATATGTTTCATCCGATTTGTTGCTTAAATCCCTCACTTTCGTAATAAGCGCTCTACAACAATGTGATTTGATACCGGACATCAAATATAGCTCGAGAACACCTCTGCCAATTTTTAATGAGATCTTTTCAGATTTTTTATAGATTCGAAATACACCTTCATCCGATTTTACGGTTATTGTTCACAATATATGTAATGTCAGTCCAAATTGGATCACATTTTCATATTCAACCGAATTTTTCCATTTGGTGAAACTAGATCCATTGTATCTATTGCTCCAATAAATATATTTTAATACAATTCTTATCGAAGTCATATCATGCACTATATGGCTATGTTAATTTGTACTAGAGGTGCAAAAGTCTTCGTCAAATTTGTTGAAAGTCGATTCAGAGTTGGATATAGTTCCCAAAATTGTGAAAACCCATTCACATAAGGTTCATAGTTGGTAAGATCTACTTGTCTTGTGCAGTCGAGTGCAATTCTAAAAAATTCTATATCTAAATTCGAATTTTTTTTTTATTTTATATACTTTTTAATAAAAATAACATATATTTTTATTCTTGTATTTACAGTTGTCAGCGCCACAAGTATGATGCCCAAACATGAACCCATGTTTATATCCCGCTCTGAAACATTTAAATTTGTTGCTGGTGATACCATTGTCTTGCCCTGTGAAGTTGCCAATACTGGTAAGTTAAAAAAACAATATTCCTGTTTTGGTATTATTTTGAATTCCCAGAGTTGCATAATCTAGATCCTTTAAAAGAGATATCTAGTTCAATATCTCAGATTCGACGGCAATTAAAGAAAGCGAAGGAATTCAATATCAAATAGAAATGCAAAGATTGGCATTAGTTAAGTAGGAATTCGTCAGGAATAAATAATTGTTTTAAATGTAAATAAAACAAGTAAAAAACTGATAAGTTCGGCCGGACCATCCCTCCACCATTATCAGTAAATTATACCCCGTTGCACGGGGGGTATACAAAGATGTGGACCTATATAGACAATATTCCGTCATAGGTTATAGTACCCATCACGAACTAGAAATTCGAAACAATTTCATTGAAAAATGTGGTTAAAATCATCGAAATGTCGAATATCGGGGTTATACGATACTGTGGACCTATATATATAATACTCTCCTCTTAATAGTCCTATTGATATTTTTACTCAAGACATATTCATATTTTCGCTCAATCTGCATTAAAAATAAACTCTTAGAGTTCTCCTTTTTTTTGTATTTTTTCGCAGTATGTGTGGATCCTACTCGAGTTTCAAAATGCCACTTTAACCTTTAAAATACTGCAGATATGGCGGTAATTTTATATAGGAGATATACCAAAGAGTGAAATATTTTTCACAATTGTTATCAAGAAGGTATATATTGTATTTAGAATCCAAAATGGCAAATAACATCAACATCTGTTGATAATTTTTATCAAAATCTTGAAAATCCTTCCAATCGTGGGTAGGGTTCTATGGGAGCTAAATCAGAAACCTGTTCAATGTTGACAATTTTTGACACAAACAGTAATGTAAAATTTCGACAAAATTTATTGAAAACACATGGTAAAACCCTGCAAAAAACTAAAATCCGGAGTAGGGTTCTATAGGAGCTACGTTAAGTTGTGGACCCATATTAACATAATTTTGCAAGGACATCAGGCATATATTAAGATCACCAGATGCCCACATTCAGACAATTTCAATTGAAAATGTAATTAAAATCCTGGAAATTCTCTAAATCGGAGGGTACCGTTATATGTAGACTTTTCCTAAACGTTTTTTTGTCATTATAAAGCTACTCTAAAAAATCAGATCGATTGGTTGTATAGAATCATCTTTGTCGCACCTTCCCAGACCACTGTGCATTGTCTAACTATATTTACACACGTGCTTTCATGCTTTGAAATACATTCACATACAAACTTCTGTTTCGGAAAAAAAATTGGCATAACGTGATTGGCAGAGTCATGTTAATAATAAGGATACCATTAACAATGAAGATTATGAATATTATTTCCAATATGTAAAGATTTGGTTTTAAAATGATATTCCACAACTCCGTTTCGAGATTCGAAAGTTCTTAAGAGGTTTAAATCAGACGGATGGCAATAAATGAGTCAAGCCGCATCCAGAGTCAAATTGCTTCATTTTTCTAAATTATAATTTCAAATCTCTCTACACAAAGTTTGGCACACTACGTAAAAAAACTTTCGATTTCCACTTTTTAAAATTAAACTTTTATTTTTTTTCAGCACTACCTAATCCTCGAATTAAACTAAAGGTCACTTGGTTGTATTGTTAAACTTCAAAATTATTTTCGTAGTGCGGGTAATAAGAAATTCCAGCCGTCAGCTTATTACGAGGTTTTCCTTCTTGTTTTTGTTTTATTGAGCAAAAAATATCAGTCCTTTCATCACCCATACATAGCATTTTTTTTTAGTCTGCATAAAAAATACATTTCTGTCCATCACACATGGTCTTTATGCCACCATATAGCTTAAGAGGCCAGCCAGAAGCAAGCTTAAAGTTTAACAAGTATGATGAAACATTTTTTCCTTGGCATCAGATAAAAAAATTAAACCCCTTGGTTTTTAAGGATTTTCCGACGAACATGCATGTGTCAGTAGAAAAGATATGAGAGGGATTTCCATTTGAGTACAATATGCCCAGTGGTGTGATTTTCCTACAAACCTTATCTTGCCATTTAAAAGTTGGATTTGTGTTTGTATGTGTGTGTGATTCTGTTTTTTTTCGGATGAGAGAGTCTTTGCTCATAGTTTTGATGCTGGTATATTATTTGTTAAACGTAAAATGTGTGTTTGTATGCCTGTGTATTTGAGGAATTTGTTTTTGCGTAAAATTTCTACAAGTATAATGCCGGTTGAACTATTGTTACTGGCCGGTCTATGTTTTTTCTTACCGAAAATTCTGTAGAACATTTTATAGAATAAGGATAACAATTTTAATTAAACTTTTGTTTAGATGAAAATAGTTTTAGTTTTTCAATTTCAATGATCCACTTGTTTCGTATTTGGGTCATTAGGAAATTGTGCTTTTCGCTTTTTCTCTTGAAATGTTATATACATAGATATATAGTTAGAAAAAATCCTATTATTACATTCAATGATTTGTAAATATAAGGATTACAATGCAAAACAATAATTATTTCGGTTTAGTGGCATAAGAAGATGGAAAAAATAAAATCTATTATAACTCAACTTAAATTGAAAATAAATTAAACTTAATTTAATTTCCGTAGACGAAAATTCGATGATGGAGTGGGCACAAAAGACAATGAATTTTGTTGGAAAATGTGTCTTGGGGAACACAAATGCCAAATATTGTATTAGAAATACCAAAATCAGCTGGAAACCATGTGTACAATTTCTGATATTTGGTTTAAAACTATGACCGATATGTAAATTCTAATGGTATCATTTGGATGTTTGAGATTTAATTAGGGGGCGGATTAATAATATACTCGGAAACTTATACACTGCGTAATAAGACGTATGGACTGATTGAGACATATAAGTATATAGATAATCTTAATAAACCCATGCAATGGCATCGGTTCAAGTTTCCAATTGTATGATTTTGGGAACAACAAATACGCTTTCTATCAACATCTGATTGTTTTTTTATCTTTGATAATATTTCCCTCACCGATAGCTAATGGAACATATTTTCGTACACTTATTCACTTAAGTTTTCCATCTCCAACTTCGTATATACCTTGTATTTTTTAGCAACCTTTAGCACTGGCTCTACTCTCTTGTTGTATCCCAATCGTAACACATCCGCACCTTCCTGTAATTTTCGTGCATATACAATCAGGATTTTTAGATACTATGATTATCACACATTTTGTGTGACTAGGATAGGTTTATAAATCAAATATCAAATACTAAATATTTGTTAAGCGAAATATTTAAATAAACAAAGTTTGAAAAAAAGGAGTGGTGATATATACAGGGTGAGATAAAGAAACTGCAACTAACTTCAGACTGCGGACATTTCTACGCCACTCGTCTGACAGCTGTTAAAATCATTCCAGTGACAGCTCATTATATTGTTTACAAACGTACAAAAATATTTTGGTGAGAATTTTCAAAAAAAAAGTTATTTATATTTGGCTGGAAAACCACAAGTGGCTATCGTTAGAGCACTCCAGCATTTAAATGTGAATAAATCTTTTGTGTCTCGTACCATCGCTCGTTATCGTAATACTGGTAGCATAGCCCGACGTCAAGAAGTGAACGGAAGAAAACAGCAACATCAGCAGAAATGGTTGGAAAAGTAGAGAAGCTGCTTGATCGATACCCGCGTCGCAGTGGCCGAAAAATGGTTCGTGAGCTGAACTTATCGTAATATTCCATTACGCAAATATTGCAAAATAAGCTCGGGGTAAAACCACTGAAATTCCAAAAAGTGCAAGAACTTACACCTCAACAGAAAGAAAATAGACTCAAAAGAACTGCCGAATTTGGTTTTCTCCGATGAGAAAACATTCGTTTTCCAGCAGTTTATAAGCAAATAAAATGAAGGTGTTTACTTGCCAAAGAGATCAGCTGAAAATGTGCACCTTCGGTTGGCCACCAGAACTCAAGCACCGGTCATGGCGATGGTGGGGGGCGCCATAACAGCCGATGGTCGCTCTCCGTGATCGTGGCATCAGAATAAATGCCGAATATAATCGCGAAAATATTCTGGAGGGTGTATTAAAGCCTTGGGCACGCAATAATTTTGGCCGCTGACCTTGGACATTCCAACAGTACACAACATTGCACTCAGCACGAGCCACCCAAGAATGGCTTCAAATGAGGTTCCTCGCTTCATTTCCATCGCACAATGGCTACCAAAATCTCCGGATACCAATCCGTTGGACTATTGTGTCTGGAGTATTTTGGAAAGCAAATACCAATGTGTTGGTCACCTCAAGCAAGTGTTTCGCCGGGAATGGGCCAAAATACCGCAGAGCAACATGCGGGCAGCATGTGACAGTTGGCCGTTTGAAGGCCACAATTCGTCCCAAAGGTGACCAATTCGAACAAATCTAAACATGTTCTAAAATTTGATTCTATTTCCGATGTATTTTGCTTTCAATCAATAAAGTTTAAAAAAATGGAAAAATTATGGTATTTAACTTTGTTGCAATTTTTTTATCTCACCCTGTATTTACTGTATTCTTTGAATTATCGTGCGCAGCCACCCAGCCGGACAGACAAAAGGAGGTGCCTTAGTATTTTTGTTCCGTTTTCGTGCGATGTTATATTCATAAAAGCCTATAAAAAATTCTGAACTGCGTCACTCTATACCAATGCTAAGACATTCGGTAGGTTTTAGTACTTTTGGTATATTTTCAGTGGACTGTAGGTTGATAAAATTTTACTCAAATGTGTGTATTGTGTGGAGTACATTTGGTATTAGAAATGGGCTATATAAGTCCACGTTTTGGTATATCCCCATATTATTGTACCTCCCAATATTCGGTATTTTTATGATCTTAGAGACATTGTTTACAGGAACTGTTTCAAATTTCGTAATGGGTACAGCCCGTGACAGAAAATTGGCTGTGGAGGTTCTATGCAGGTCCACTTCTTCTTATAGGCCCCAGTATAACGGGGGCCTATATTCGGTACTTTTAAGATTTGAACAAAATTTTTAAAAGTTTTTTTTT